GCAGAACTCAGAATTCACATTTGAGTTGATGGGAAATCACCACCATTCTCCTCTGGCTTTCAGCTGAGTCAAAGAAAAATATTGGACAGCCCGAGGATCTTGGTCATTATACATGTACTCCAGAGACCGACACCTCTTGTTAAATAAGGTCAGGGGAGGCTGTGAAAGTGCTTGGAGCACTAGACATTGGGGCAAATTGCTTCCCGAAACAAAACACAGCTTGCAGAAGTGGTGCTAAGTGGCATTCATCTGTAATGAAACCTCATGGCTTACAAACTTCCCAAGTCATGCCAGAGCACTGTGAATATAGAAGAAGCAGATCAGTTCTCAGGAAACAGGCATCCATTTCTGAGTCTTCTAAGCAGAATCTGCCTGAGGGAACAATGGTGATGCTCCATACTGGCTTTCACTAGAGGATGACACACTCATGCAGAGAGAGAGGGGAAGGGTAGAAAGAGGGTGCGTTATGCAGTGTTAAGTCAGTGATAAAATTCAGATTCCATTATACTTAAGGCCAGTGCAGTTTCTTTTTGAACCTTCCCCTGTGACATTCGTCAATCCTGGTGACAATACACTGCTGTCATTGTTTGATTATGAGTCTTCATCTGAACTAGTCTTCAGAGAGCATCTTGTTCCGTCTGTCTGAGGGGAGGGGACAGGTGGATATCTGCCTTCATCAGCCCTGCTCTGGTACCCAGCTAGACAGGAATTAGTTAATGTTCACACAGATTGTTTGCTCAGCCTAAGACACAGTTCTCAAGGAAGTTTTCAGCCTTGCTTCCGCAGAAAATGATTCAGTTTGATAATCATCACCAAGACCTTTGCTTTCTTAAGCATGTCAATATTTATGTCTTAAGCGATTGGCAAATCTCCAAGAAAATCCATAAATAGAAAATCTGTATCACCTCATGGTTAAAAATGTCTGCAGAGCTTGGTAGTATAAACAAATACATCTATACCTGAGTAGTGTATTATATTCAAGTATATAAGATAGAAGAATCCAGAAATTTGTAAATCAGTTTGAAAAATATGGGATTCTAAGAATATTCAGGAGGGATACAGGGTCAGGGGAAACAACAAAAATGAATTGGCTAAAAAAGTGTGATTAAATAAAGGCTAAATATAAACCTATGCATTTGTTTGACTATATGAAGTTAAATATGCATGTATTTATTTTTACACACATAAAATACTTCTCTCCCCCATTGAATAAATGTCACATGGCAACAGATAGAGACCAATACAGAAAACCACAACTGACCAAAATGCAGAGAACAAGTGACTGTGTGGTGCCCAGCCCCAGCTGATCCACCTACAATACAACTCATGCACCAAGGCTCACAGATCATAATGGAAGAGTGGGTGGAAAGATTTCTAAGAGCCAGAGGAACAAGGACTTTGGCTGTGAGATTTAGTGTCTTATAAATGTCAGAGGCACACCCATGAAGTCTCATTGACATGGCTGTCTAAATAAAACCCCACCAAGAATGACAGCAGCCAACATGCTAACATGGAAGGGGAAAATCTTATGAGGTCTTGACCTTAGACAAAGCACTATAGCTAACTAAGGAATGATGACATAAGAAAAATGTATCTTCCCCAAGGAAGAGCACCACAAACTGGTTATCCAATACAACCCAATACCAAGTGGCCAGCCCTGGGGTCATATACATACAGGTCACATTGTAAGGACTGAGCAGGATATATTTTAATTGTTGATATATATGTATGTATATTGTTGAGATATATAGATGTATATGATATACATACATGCATACATATACATATATCAGTTGTGTGTGTGTGTGTGTGTGTGTGTGTGTGTGTGTGTGTGTGAAGGGTTGGAGGGTAGAAAGGAAAAAGGAGAAAATGGTGTAATTATATTTAATTTCAATAAATAAAAATACTTTAAAAAGGAAAACATAGGTAAAACAATGATACTTGTGAAAGAGTCAGCACTATTGGTTGGGAAAACTCTTCTATGGACAATCAAGTAAGCATCTTTTTCAAATTAAAGCATTGTAGAAAAGTGAGCAAGTTAGAATAAAGAATAAATAATATGGACATGTCATGGGAATGAAAAACCTCCCAAACATATGAAATAGTAAAACCTAGGTGCCCCCATTTCCTTCAGTTTCTGCCTTGGACTGATTTAGTTTTCTTCACCTCATTGTTGGCCTCCAGTTCTTTCTCCCAACACGTTTCCAGTGTCCCCACTGCCATTTATAACACATGGCTTTCTTCCTCCAACTGCTTTGCAGTGAGCAAGATGATCAGCAGCCCAGTGATTAACTATCCAGTATCTCATTTGGGGGATTTGATGAAATAAAACAAAAGTTTTATTTCAGGAAAAGAATATCTTTTGTTTTTTGTAAAACTGAATAGGAATTTATGTGTGTGGAGGAAGAGATATTTCCTACAGAGCTTAAACAGATCCTATGGCAGCCCTTCGGTTTCCCATGCTGCAGTCAATACAAAGGGTGAACTACAGGCTTCTGTTCCATTTCTCTTCTTCTGTCAACACTAACTATAAACACCCTCACCTTCCACATGTCATTTCTATCCTAAATACCCTGCAACAATAGCTGCCATTGTCCTCAGGTACTGATAAGGATCCTGTAATCCAGAAGTTTAATTGCCAGGCCACCATCATACTTGAAGACACATGAAGGTCATTTACATATTGGTGGAATGGAAAAAGAAATAAGAATAAGGAATTAGTTTCACTAACGTATGTTGCACTTCTGACTATTAAAAGAGAAGTTGGTAAGATAACAGTGAACAGACCTGTTAAATCAACATATGGTTCAGGGGATAATTATGAAATCATAGTTTCCTCTTCCTCAGGAAATGTGCATTAAAATGTTAATTAAACTTCAGGCACAATGATCCAGCTTCCTGTCTGCAATGCTCATCTCCATCGTCAGCACTGATTAGCTCTGAGGATGCTGGGGCATTATGCAAAGATCTCACAACTTGATACAACTGTGCAATATACTTAGGTATAGGGGAAGTAATCAGCTGTGAGTTCTGATTACCATTCCCATTCAAAGTCTGTGTTTACAGTGAGATTAGCATGGTGGATGGGAGAAGACATGGTCCCAGTGGTCAGGGCACCAACAAGGATCTGACATCTTAACACTGTTGTTATGAAACAGTGTTACATACATTTATCACAGTGATGGTCACATGAGACTGCTCAAAGTTATTATTGCTGTTGTCAAGGCTATTATTACTACCATTATGTAACACTACACAAGCTTTTGCAGGAGCAGCCTTCTCATTTCACACTGACAAGCGAGCAATTGTCTATATCATCGTGAAGATGCATGAATGGAGGTTAAAGTATTTTCTCCATCTCGACTTTCTAAACCCTCACAAAACAGAATGAAAACACTTGGAAAAACTTCAAAGATGATAGCTTTCCCAAGGAATCAAATGCAGATTGCCATGCCAGAACACCTTCAGAACCAATCCTGCAACAAAGAATTTAGCCTAATCACCAAATGCTTTGACCCGAGAGCAAGATTTTTTGCAGCGAAATGCTTAGACTTACTGGCATCTTCTGTGAATAAATTAGAACAAGTGAGGGAGGTCATAATCTCTACATTTACTTAAATTTCCTCAGGCTGCTCAGTCTTCCATATGTAGATTAATAATGATTATATTAATGTCTGTCTAAATGTGGGGAATATGTATCCTGTCATGGAAAAGTTTTGCAGACTTAAAACCCTTTACTGTTAAAATAAACACAACATTTTAAAGAAAGAATAGCGTTCAGCCTGACTAGATCTCAATTCTTCCAAAATTAAGTGAGTTAATGATCTAAACCCCAAACCTCTGGCTTCCTCAGACACCCTAAGATTGTCAGCTCAGCACTTGTTAAATGGAGAACTTTGCTCTAACTTGCAGCCCAACAATCACCTACAGTAAGTAGTACTTAAGTAGACAGATTAGTAATATGACTAGAGGTAACAGTCTTACCCTGTGCCTGGCCCCAAATACGTGACTCAAAATGTAAACTTTCAGTATATTTAAATTGCCCCAAAATGAATGATGATGAATTATTGAAGAATAGCATTATAGTGGAGTGTGCTACTGATGGGTCATCTTAGATTTGGTTGCCTTCAGAATCACTCAGCAGATAAAAATAGCACATGTCAGAACTCACTGAAGGTTGCAATAATTAGAAAGAATCAATAATTAGTAAATGCAAATGTGAGTTATTAGCTCATTTCAAAGATACTTTCCATTGTAGCAGTAAGATTTCTCTAACTGTTCCCCACTTCATCGGTAGGATAATTTAACTTGATGCATCTGAGTTTTTTCTTTGCAATATTTGGAACTCATCCTTGTTTTTCCTTCCCTATCTTCAAACAAAAACAGAACTTTAAAATGTCAAATTTTACCATATGGAAACACTGTTGCAATTAGGCTATTTAATATTATCCATATTGCTGTTATGTTTTCATTTTTCTAAAAAAGGAAAAATAAAGCAAATGGCTTGCCTAAATTTTTTTTCAGCTCTGGTAGAAGCAGCAACATAGGAAAAAGACGGTCTCATCTTTGGGAAAAGAGGAAAAGGCAAATACAGAGTCATGAACAGAAGCAGCATTGCACAGTGGGATTGAACTCTTAGGAGGAAATTGATACTTCCAGGATGAAAATGGAACAGAACCAAGACATTATAATGAGAGTCATTTGGTGCTGGAGGAGACCCCTTAAAAATGGTGCCTAGCTGACTCACAGCATGATCATTACAGGCTCTTTTCCTTGTTCACATTCTCAACATAAATGCCTTGGAAGAGGCAATGGTGTTTTAAATTGCTCATTCTCGTTTGTAATTTTTCATTTGTTTTTCTTTCTCTTCCAGTTATGAGTGGGTTCTTGGGAAAGATTCTTTTTCCATGTAACTAGAGGAGAGCCTTGAAAACTCACACTGTAAATGAACAACAGAGAAGGAAACAATGGAAGAATCGAGCATCAAAAAAGGAAATTACCTGTGGGCATCTGCTCCATGTTCCCCACTCAGACATGACACATTCGCTGGGACACAGAAGAGAACAGGCCTGGGTTTCTGGGGGAGCATCATCCTGGTTGCACAGGCTCCTGTCCACTACTCCTCCCTCAGTGTCAGCAGTACTCACACACCTGTTGGACAGTGGTGAGCATAAAGATGGATACATTTAAATTAGGACCAGCAGCTGAAAGAGAAAAAACAAACCGACAACCCAATCTTCTCCATCCAGTGGTCTTTTATTGAGTGATAACTCAAAAAAGAACCCTTGATGTAGAACACATCAAAAAAATTATCCATCATGACCAAGTAGGCTTCATCCCAGGGATGCAAGGATGGTTCAACATAAGAAAATCTGTCAATGTAATACACCATATAAACAAACTGAAAGGAAAAAAAACCATGTGATCATCTCATTAGATACTGAAAAAGCCTTTGACAAAATCCACCACCCCTTCTTGATAAAGGTCTTGGAGGGATCAGGAATACAAGGAACATACCTAAACATAGTAAAGGCAATTTACAGCAAGCCAACAGCCAACATCAAAGTAAATGGAGAGAAACTCAAAGCTATTCCACTAAAATCAGGAACAAGACAAGGCTGTCCACTCTCCCTATATTTATTCAATATAGTACTTGAAGTTCTAGCCAGAGCAATAAGACAACAAAAGGACATCAAAGGGATAGAAATTGGAAGGGGAGAAGTCAAACTTTCACTATTTACAGATGATATGATAGTATACATGAGTGACCCCAAAAATTCTACCAGGGAACTCCTACAGCTGATAATCTCCTTCAGTAATATGGCAGGATACCAGATTAACTCAAAAAAATCAGTAGCCCTCCTATATACAAATGATAAATGGGTTGAGAAAGAAATCAGAGAAACATCACCCTTTACAATAGCCACAAATAATATAAAATACATTGGTATAACTTTAACTAAGCAAGTGAAAGACCTGTGTGATAAGAACTTTAAGCGGCTGAAGAAAGAAATTGAAGAGGATATCAGAAAATGGAAAGATTTCCCATGCTTATGGATAGGTAGGATTAACATAGTAAAAATGGCAATCTTACCTAAAGCAATCTACAGATTCAATGCAATCCCCATCAAAATCCCAGCACAATTCTTCACAGACTTGGAAAGAACAATACTCAACTTCATATGGAAAAACAAAAAACCCAGGATAGCTAAAAGAATCCTGTACAATAAAGCCATCTCTGGAGGAGGCATCACCATCCCTGACTTCAAGATCTACCATAGAGCTATAGTAATAAAAATAGCTTGGTACTGGCATAAAAACTGACATGTGGACCAATGGAACCAAATTGAAGACCCTGACTTTAACCCCCACACACCCATGAACACCTGATTTTTGACAAAGCCAAAACCGTACAATGGAAAAAAGAAAGCATCTTCAACAAATGGTGCTGGCATAACTGGATGTCAATATGTAGAAGATTGCAAATAGATCCATATCTGTCACCATGCACAAAACTCAAGTCCAAGTGGATCAAAGACCTAAACATAAATCCATTTACACTGAACCTGATAGAAGAGAAAGTAGGAAGTATTCTTGAATGCATTGGCACTGGAGATCACTTCCTAAATATAACACCAGTAGCACAGACACTGAGAGCAACAATTAATAGATGGGACCTCTTGAAACTAAGAAGCTTTTGTAGGGCAAAGACATGGTCAATAAGACAAAATGACAGCCTATAGAATGGGAAAATATCTTCACCAACCCCACATCTGACAGAGGGTTGATCTCCAAAATATATAAAAAAAACTCAAGAAACTAGACATCAAAATAATGAACAATCCAATCAGAAAATTGGCTACAGAGCTAAACAGAATTCTCAAAGGAAGAATCTCAGATGGCTGAGAGACATTTGAGGAATTGCTCAATATCCTTATTCATGAGGGAAATGCAAATCAAAATGACTCTGAGATACCATCTTACACCTGTCAGAATGGCTAAGATCAAAAACACTGAGGACAGCTTATGTTGGAGAGGATGTGGAGCAAGGGGAACACTCCTACACTGTTGATGGGAGTGCAAACTTGTACAGTCACTTTGGAAATCAGTATGGGTTTTCTCAGAAAATCAGGAATCAATCTTCCTCAAGATCCAGCTATATCACTCTTGGGCATATACCCAACGGATGCTCAATCATAATACAAGGATACATACTCAACTATGTTCATAGCATCATTATTCATAATAGCTAGAACCTGGAAACAACCTAGATGCACCTCAACTAAAGAATGGATAATGAAAATGTGGTACATTTTGTATTACACAATGGAGTACTACTCAGCAGAGAAAAACAATGACATCATAAGGTTTTCAGACAAATGGATGGAACTTGAAAATACAGTCCTGAGTGAGGTAACCCAGACTCAGAAGGGCAAACATGGTATGTACTCACTCATAAGTGGATTCTAGATGTAAAGCAAAGCATAACCAGACTTCAACCCATAGCTCCAGGGAGGCTAGCTAGCAGGAAGGACCCTAGGAAAGATGCATGGATCACCCAGTGAAGGATAAATAGATGAGATCTACATGAACAAACTGGGGATGAGGGGAGTAATGGAGGGCAAGGGATGGGGGATAGAACATAGAGGAATGGGCAGTTTGAGCTGGCACAGGGACAGAGTGGGAGAGCAAGGAAAGAGATACCATGATAAATGAAGACATCATGGGAATAGGGAGAAACAGAGTGCTAGTGAAGTTCTCAGGAATCCACAAGGATGACCCCACCTTAGACTACTGGCCATAGTCAAGAGGGTACCTGAACTGGCCTACTCTGGTGATCAGCTGGCTGAATAGCCTAACTGTCATCATAGAACCCTCATTCAGTGACTAATGGAAGCAGATGCAGAGATCTATGGCCGGGTGCCAGGCCAAGCTCCAGGAGTCCAATCGATAAGAGAGAGGAGGGATTCTATGAGCAAGGGACATTGAGATCATGATGGGAAAATGTACAGAGACAGCTAGCCAAACTAGTGGAAATGCATGAACTGTGGCCCAAAAGCTGAGGAGCCCCCATGGTACTGGACTAGGCCCTCTGGGTAATCAAGACAGTTGTTTAGCTTGAACTATTTAGGGGGCTCCTAGGCAGGCAGTGGGATCGGGACCTGTCCCTGGTGCATGAGCTGGCTTTTTGGAACCTAGTGCCTATGGTGAGACACTTTGAACAGCCTTGGTGCAGGGAGGAGGGGCTTGGACCTGTCTCAACTGAATGCACCAGGCTCTGGAGGAGGTGGGAATAGGGAGTGGGTTGGGTGGGGGTTGGGAGGAGGGAGGACAGGGGAATCTGTAGTTGGTAATTAAAATGAATAGATAATCTCTTAATAATAAAATAAAAAAGGTAGGAAAAGGCTGAAAAAATAAAGATCCCTTGACACAGTAAGTAAAAGAATTTAGAAATGTCATGGGTAGTGGCTGTCTTGTCCAGCACCCATTCTCCAGTGATGTAGAGTATACATAGATCCAGCACCAAGTGTATATTCCTTCAATTTTTACAAATCTTAAAAGTTTCTTTCTCCAAATATCAAATAGATGACTTTGTTTAGGCCAGGACACTCATACTTCTCGTGGCTCTTGTAAATCTTTCTCAAAGTTTCCAAACCATCTCCATGTTTACTCCACATATTGTAGGGGATGGGAAAATAATCAGTCATTAATAAAAGCATTTGAGTTTTACATGTCTATGTGGTATGTGGCCATCACAGTCAAAGGGTAATGTGCAAACATTGTCATGTCCCACAAAAACCCAGAGCGTGAACTGAGATAAAGCACACACAATGATATCTATCATCATGCTCTGTGTACACATGATGAGCATTCAATCATATCTAAACCACAGCATTCTACTCAAAATGGTTTAAGTAAAATACATGGACAATATCAAGGTTTGGCAGCAATGTTGGTGATATATAAATCATCTCACTCTGCAGCTTGGGAAAGTATGCAAAAACTGGTTGAGAGTTTCTACTCCACATAAGCTGGAATTTAAATAGAAATGTGTAAAACTCACACCAAACAAACCACAAACTGGAGATGCTTACAGTGGCAGTTTTCATACACAACCAAGCCAGAAATAGTTCAACTGTTCAATATTCTCTAACAGCTGTATCCACTGTTTAAAATTGCATTGAATCCGCCGGGCGGTGGTGGCGCACGCCTTTAATCCCAGCACTCGGGAGGCAGAGGCAGGCGGATCTCTGTGAGTTCGAGGCCAGCCTGGGCTACCAAGTGAGTTCCAGGAAAGGCACAAAGCTACACAGAGAAACCCTGTCTCGAAAAACCAAAAAAAAAAAAAAAAATTGCATTGAATCCAATGAAGGGTGAGAATGCATAGACTTTTTGGTACACAAAAGGGCATGGGTGGCAAAGACCTGCTATTAAAGGTTGTCACACACAAAGTCTCTATACTCTGTGATGATTCTTTCACGTAGATGTTTTAATGTGAAGCAATATTAATTTATAGAGTCACAATAGTGGTGACCCTTAGAAGAATGACTAGTGACTAATAGGGCATAGGAAGTCTTAGAAATATTTTGTTTTTGACTTTGGGTTTGGTTGTATGAGTGCACTAGTGTTATGAAACCTTACCCGGCCATATTTCCATGTTGTGGCCATTTATCTATATTTGTATCTCAGAAACTTATTTTTAATTTACCCTTCCCCCAAATACTAAAGAGACATGTACTATCAGCCAGGCTCTTTTGTTAGATGTCAGAAATTATTTTTTGTCAATACTTATTGATTCAGTTTTTTTTTGAGTCAAGGTCTTATGTACTCTAGGGTGGCCTTTGAACTTCTAATGCTCCTGGCTTTACTTTTCAAGTGGTGAGGATTACAAGTACGGCCTAGCCTTATTTAATAAAGAATTCTAAGGGCTTCCTATGGTATCAGTGCCTGGTTATTGAGGTACAAAACCATAAGAAAATTAGACACAGTTGCTGTATTTGTGAGTGCTTTGTTCTAGGGATAACAATAAAAGTGAAGATGAAAATGTCAATGATATCCAGATGGTGGAACACATTTAATATCCTAAGATGTAGGAGTCTGAGGCAGGAAGATTGTGACTTTGGAGCTGTTTGAGGCCAGCCTGGGATAGA